TTCTTCAAAAAGAGATTTATATTCGCCACCCCTATCACTTCTTATTATTTTGATCTTTTTGTTTAGTTGTGTTTCAACTTCACTCTTGTATTGCTTGAAAGCATCAATTACCTCATCTTTACTATTAAGTAAATAAACATAGCAATATCTCGTGCTATCGTCAATAAAAGTAATAAAATACTTTTTTCCATCGTGAGATGGTATTGACTTCATGTCGCAAATATCTGTGTGAATTAAGCCTAAAGGACTTGAATTCCTTTCAACGGACTTATAAGGATGCTTAGCATACTTTGATTCCACACATATTTGACATTTGGAATTAATGCAATCAAATTTTGGCAATACTTCTAAATTTATCATTTTTCGCAATGTTTTGAAGTTGATGTGACCTAAGCGTGCATGCCATAAAGTGTTTGACTCAAATAAGTAAGAAGATGCATTAACTTTATTGATAGGAACTGCTATTACATTTAGCTTAAAAAGGCCCTCATTCAGGTAACCTTTTCCTACATACACATCATTCTTACTTAGTACAACACTATTAGAAAAAAAAATACATTTGAATCCATTCTTGACTAGAAGTGAGGTAGACACAAGATTCTTGCGAATTTCTAGAACATGGAGAACTTGGTTTAGAGTCACAATTTTTCCCGACGTCATCTTCAATGCAATCTTGCCAACTCCTTCAATTTTGGCTGTAGACGAATTTCCCATGAAAATTGTCTCGTCGGGTCCTGCGGGGGCATAGGAAGAAAATAACTCCTTGTTAGCACAAACATGGCGGGTGGCCCCAGAATCAATCCACCATTCTTTAGGATTTCCTACCAAGTTGCATTCAGACAGCATGACACACAAGTCCTCCATTTCTTCAGCATTTTCAACCATGTTAGCTTGATTCTTCTTCTTCTTATCATTCTTTGGTGCACGACAATCCACGGCCTTATGCCCAGATTTTCCATAGTTGTGGCAGTTACCCTTGAATTTTTTTCTTGCTTGGGTAATTCTTTGGTCCAGAAGCCTTCTTTCTCTTCTTATTTTGTGGCGCCTCCTCAACAATGTTAGCCCTTATTATTGTTGAGTTTCCACGTGACTTCTTTTCAGCATTTTTGTTGTCTTCTTCTATCCTCAAACGAACAATCAAGTCTTCAAGTGTCATCTCCTTCCGCTTGTATTTTAGATAGTTCTTAAAATCCTTCCACAACGGAGGTAACTTCTCAATGAAAGCGGCGACTTGAAAGGCCTCATTTATGACCATACCTTCAATAATAAATTCATAATTAATAGCAAGATAAATCTTATTAATAAAATTATTGATTCGGGTCATACCTTCAGCAAGGAGGTCATGCACAATGACTTGTAATTCTTGGACTTGAGTTATGACCGACCTAGTGTCAATCATCTTGAAATCCAAAAACCTTGCAGCCACGAACTTCTTAAGTCCGGCATCCTCAGTCTTGTACTTCTTCTCAAGCGCATTCCATAACGCTTTTGAAGTTTCCATGACACTATAGACATTGTACAAGCTATCTTCCAAACAACTCAAAATGTAGTTTTTGCACAAGAAATCAGAATGTTTCCATGCTTCAGTTACAACAAATCGTTCGTCATCCGGAGTGCCTTCAGCTAGGATCGGAGGATCCTCCTTGATAAATCGCTGCACTTCATTTGCCAACGTTTGAAGTCAATACCTAGATAGAAGAGCATCTTCATTTGCCAACGTTTGAAGTCAATACCGAAAAACTTTCCGGGTTTTTCTGCTGGTGCCATAGCATGAGCAGGAGTTGAACGGCTTGACGAGGCAGCAACACTCGTAACAGTAGCACCCGTTCCCGCAACATTTCCATTAGTTTGATTTTCATTCGTCATTTTTCTGTAGAGTTGGAAACAAAACAGAACTTTGTTAAATCAGTGAAGTTTTGATATCTTCAAACTGAATACCAAACCAAACATACAACACGTAACAACGGTGAAGTTTTTATATACTTCAAACCCGCACGTTTATTATTCCGGTAAAGTTTTGATATACTTTAAACCGGACAGAATAATTATTGGAGTAGAAAGCACGAAGGCTTTAGTCTCCAAACCAGTATACAAAATATAAATAACAGTTTAATATATATTTCAACACAGAAACGTTAGATAAAATTCCTTAAGCTTGTTGTCGCTACTGTGTTAAAACACAAAATTAGAAAGATTGTTAGAAGATAAACTGGAAAAACAGTAAACTATAAAAAAAATATTCCGAGTCCACAATTTGCTTGTGCGTCCTTAAGGAATTTTAACCCCCTCACACGTTTCCAAAGTAATGGATTAAATCCTCCCAGGATGAAACGGAATAAACCTTCTTGCAACAGTGGCAATACAAACTGCAGGATACCAACGAACTCAAAGAACGGAGCAAAATCACACTTACGAATTTGAGAGAGAGAGACTGCGAAGTAGAATGCAGTATTCAGAAGGAAGGAAGTTCTATTATTTTTCAGTGTCGGAAAAGAAGCCATGCCTCAGAATTTATAGGCAATTATCGGAAGAGGTGTGATGTCTGTTCAGGAGGAAAAACAACGTTCAGCAAATCCAAATCCAAAGCTGAAGCCGAGCCGAGCGAGCAACGACGACGACGCGAGGGTTCATTCTCTTCAACTCCTTTTAAGAGCTCTAAGAAGTGATCCTATATATATACACACAAATGTAGTTGTCCCTCACCAATGAGGGACAAAGTTCATGGCAAAAGCTCACTTGATTCAAATTTTCATTTCCCTCCATTTTATTTCCCACCATTTCCCAATTCACACTCTTAGACTTTAAAGCCCAATGCTTAAAGTCTTTAAAGCCCAATGCTTTAAAGTCCAACAACAACAACAACAACAACAACAACAACAACAATAATAATAATAATCCACCAAATTAAATCATAATACATACTCTCTCTGTCTCAAATTATCTGTCGTATTTATCTTTTACACGTCCGACCCTTAAGAAACATTAATTAGGAAAGGGATTAGATTATTTTACCCTTATTTATATCTTAAGATAAATCTCTTTTCATTGAATATTTATTCTATTTATGGTTATCTCTATTTTGAAGAACAATTATTACTATGGGTAAAAAAAAAAATACATTAAGACAAATAAAGGGGTTAAGCTTATGAGTTCCGAATTCTAATCATTTTAAGTTATTGGGTTCTAAATTAATAATTTATTCATATTCAATGATAATTAAGACAAATAAAGGGGTTCGAACCAAAGCTACAGGGTTCAGAACCAAAGCTGCCGGTTCGGTTGAACCCGTTCTCGACACTCTAGCTCCGTCTCTCTTATATACAGAGGCGGATGCAAGGCATTGGTACCGGGTTCAACTGAACCCAGTACTTTTGGTGCGGAGTATAAATTTATGTGTAAAAATACAATAATATTGCAATATATAGCAATATGAACTCTTAACTTTAAAAATACAATAGGTTCAATGCTAAAAACTTTACATGTTAAACCCATAAAACTTAAATCCTAGATCCGCCTCTGCTTATATATATATATATATATATATATATATATGAGTGTGGCCACACATAGCTACTACATCTGCCGCTAGCTGTCTGCATTGAGCTACAAATTTAGCGGTGCGTGGATCATATAGTACCACTCAAACTTGATTCATTAAGATTTGAATTAAGGTCGTTTTCTGAACCTTTTGTAAAGATGTGATGTTATTCAACTGTTGCAAAAATAGCCATTCTCTTAACGGTTTGTTGTATTGAAAATAGTTGCTAAAGGTTTCTTTGAATTGAGTAGAAGAATAGGTAGGATAAAAAGTTTTTAACTTTGGATTAATTTGTAAGATGAGATACCACCAAAAATTTTGGTGGATTAATGGATAAGATCCCTCTATACTTAACTAGAAGATTCAACTTCTAGCTTTGAAAGTGAACAAAATTCTGGTATAGAAGGCTTTCCATTTTAATAGGTCTTGTGCAACACGAATTAGTAGGACGTCAGTGTGACTATAGAACACCGGTAAAATTCAAAAATAATGGCAGAATAATTTGAAACAAAAATATTGAGGGGTAAATATTTTTCTATTACTTTATAAATGTTCTAATTATATAAATAATTTTACAAAATCAATGCATAAAATTTAAACTTTCTTTTTATCCTATGTTATTAGGGACTGGGGGTAGTAGTCATACTCCCTCCCGTCCATAATAATTAAGTGACTTTTTGATCTTTTTATTTTGGTCCAAAATAAGTGCTTTTTTACATAATCAATAAAGAATTAATTTTATTTTTCCAAAATTTTTCCTTATTTACATAGGTCAATGTATTACGATAATAATTAATTAAGGGTAATTTAGTGAATACATCTTTCTTTCTTTGGGAGTTCGTATTTTCTTAAGGTGTATACAAAAAACTAAAAAGCTATTTATTATGGACAGGAGAGTATTGTAATTCTCACATCCTCACTCCTCTATTTTGGAAATTCCAAAATTCCATGTATTCCTTTAAATGAGCTCCAACAACTTGACAATGTTCCCTAAAGTGCCAAAATTAATAGATAAGGTGTATACCCTACGTCTAGAGAAGCCAACAACTTGAAATTCATCATTTCTTCCATTAAAACAAAGAAAAGTACATTTTTTTTTAGTATATTCCATGCACTATCCTACAACTAGGTTGCACTTAATTTTCCTCGACTGAACCCCAAGTGCAATTATAGTACAATATTACATTATTTAATTTGGAAGACAATACACGTGACTAATTATTTCATGTAAGGAGCGCTTGCAGACATGCGCTTGAGGTATTTCTAAACCAGCGCAAAATATTTTTGGTTGGTACACTTTAGGCGCACTACAGGTGTTCAATCGGAAAAATACCTAATTAAAATATCTAAATAAAAAGTTGTGTCAGCTTTAGATGTCCGCATATGTATTCAGCCTTAAATACACTATAATATTTATATGAATATAAAACTTTTAAAACTTGTCATTTTAATACCATCCTTGTCAGAAGAAAAATTGTTTCACTCCTAGAAGGATGATAGTGTTACATGAGGTGGGAAAAAATGGAGTACTTTTCTACACAAAAACAAAAAATTAAAATAGAGGCAAAAGACTTGCACACTAATACTTTCACTAGCTAAACTACATTAACATTTGATAAAAAAAAAAAGAATAAAAAAAATACCTACATTAACATTGAATGATCAAAGACATTTCCAGCCAAAAGATCATCATCTAATTGATTATCCTGGAAATAACATTTTTCAGAAAGAAGTTGAAGATACTCTTCATACACCTTCTCCACCATGTTCTCATCCAATGGAACTTCATCAAATAAATTTGAAGCACAAGGAATGAATGAAACCTCTGCTATTTTACCCTCATCGGTAAGGCTGCGTATATATGACCCAATATGGTTTGACTCGTCTGCAGATCCCGTGAATAGCTGTAGCTTAGTGCAACGATCTGCACTTTTATCAGCTTCTTCAGAACTGTTTGAGGATGAAGTGCTTAATAATGCAACATCTTCAACACTATGATTCCTACAAGAGGAAATTCTTATTGGCTTTGGGACAAATACAACTTGAGGAGAGTCACTAGTATTTTGTACTAAAGGTTGGTCTTTTTTCTTCTTGGTTTTTAATTTCTTGTCTTGTTTCTTTCTTGGTTTCTCTGTTTTGGCTTGTTTTTTGGGTTCTTTTTTGGAATAATATTTGGAGAAAATCTTGTTAACTTTAGGCTCAATCCCAGCACTTTTGAGCTTCTTGATGAGATGTGTGTTCCAATAATTCTTGATTTCATTGTCAGTTCGACCTGGTAATCTTCCAGCTATGAGCGACCAACGATTGCCCAAAAGGGAATGAAGTCTTATTATAAGATCTTCTTCATCTTGGCTAAAATTTCCTCTCTTGATCCCTGGCCTCAGATAGTTCATCCATCTTAATCTACAACTTTTTCCACATCTAAGCAGCCCTGAATTTGAATAAAATAGTCTTAATATAAGCATTTCATCTTAACAGCTTAAGCTTTTAAGCAAGTAATTCACACTATATCAAATAAAGATTTTATTGGATATGCGAATAAAGTTGCACATTAGAAGAAGCTAATAGGAAAAAGAAGCAACATACATGGTATTTTTGTGTATGATGGATATTATTTTCCTATAAAAAAAGTTTGGTGTTTGGTCGGTGAATAGAAAATGCATTTCAGAAAGAGTTTTATATTAAAAGAAAATAATAGTTTTTGAGTGGTAAAAATTAATAATAATTTTCAAGTGTTAGCTAGCAAGTAATATGAAGTTAAAAGTTAAACCTGTTCTAAGAAAACAGACTTTCTACCCATAAGTGAGGGAGGACAGTTTCCCTACTTTGATAGAAAAACCAAACACTAAAAAGTGACTTGGAAAATATTCTTGGAAAAATAACTTTCGACATAAACAGAGACGGACCTATATATTATTGTGAAGGGTCACTGAACTCTCGTAAGTTTCGACAAAAATTTTGTATATGTATATATATATACCTTGAAAATAATTAATTTAAAGCACTTGGCACCCTCGTAATTCAGTAAACTAGAAAGCAACTTAAAGAGAGTATGCATACCAGCTTTCTTGGGCAAGTTTCTCCATTGGCCTTCACCATTTTCCTTAATATAATTACTAAGCAACAAATCTTCTTTTGTAGACCAAGGACCTTTACGCAACCCCTCTTTAGCACAACATGGCGCTCTCCCCATTTCTCTTTGTAGTTGGACAAAAGCAAGAGCACTACTTTTGAACATATAATGTGAGAAAAAAAGGAAGACTTAAGACGGGTTCTCACTCTAAGTCAGTACCAGTAATTTGAAAAAGCGATAGACATCTAACGCATTTACTCTTTTTTTTTTCTTAAATATGAAAATGCAAAGAGTATTAGCGGTCTTGTTTGTCACACATGAATATACTCTAAGTTTATGACTATTAAAAAAGAAGACGACACCACATAGCTTTGGAGAAAGTCGTGCCCTTTTAGAAGCCACGAGATCTATTACAGGAACATTAAATACTGATGGGACAAAAAGAGAACAATGGACAATATGATATATAGCTGTTATTTACTATACTATATTAGTTGGAAATATTCTGACCTAGTGTATTTCATTTATATTCTTGGTGCATGTTTGTTAATTTATTGAGTTTATCTTTCTTTCTTTCTTTTTTTTCATGGTTTTAAACTCGGCCGGTTCCCATGTTGGAGCCCAAATATATCCGGATTCACTCGCGTAGGGCTCTATTCGAGGAGAAGCGCGCGTTTCCAACCAAGGATTTATACCTAGCGCTGGAACCCGAGACCTCTAATTAAGGGAAGAACAGCCCCATCCGCTACACCACATCCTTTGATGGTATTTATTGAGTGTAACTTGTATTGACAGAAGCAAAACCAAGATTTGAAGGTCACGAGTGCATTTTGTCATCCAGCCAAGATCTCTTTTTATGTAGAATGCCGCTCTAGCTAGTAATATATTATAATTTTCTCAAGACATATACATGTATATATAAAACTTTTGTCGAATTTTTTGGGTGCTGGTAACCTCTCCGTAACATAGGACCGCTTCTGCTTGTATACACTAATGATGATGATAGTGTGAAGAATTTTTACATTATATATTATGTTATCATTATATGTTATAGCAGAATTTTTTGTTTTTACATTTTAAATACATTACGAATCATGCTTGTTAGAAATCGAGTAACATTTAGGTTTTAGATGAATTGATAGTGTAAAAATTCTTACTTTGAGTATCATTGATTGGGACCCCTCCATATGATTATTCTTATTCATAAATTCATTTATTCCTTTTGTTTTATAGAGGCAAATCATCGGGCAGAGATTGTATCCAATGCAAGAATTAATATTAATTAATGTGCCTCTTCACAGTTGCATCAACTAGGCAAGGACTCTACATTTCTCCGACTGGAAGCTATTTTTTACTATATTATATAATAAAATAAGATTGCATTTTAATTTTTAACAATCCCTTTTGTAATCAGTGACGTCTGTTTATATTCAAATATATATTATATACCAACTTGATTTAGTTCTTAAGATTTATTATGAAGGTGCATGAAATCTCTTCTCATAAAGAGAGTAGTGATATTTCACGATTTTATTATACACTGCTTCCCGCAAAATTGGGATCTTTGTGATACATTGTGGACTAACAGATAGGATAATCAGTATATAATTCGAGGTTAAAGAAAAAGATAACTTATATATACTCAGAGGTGAATCTAGGATTTGGAGATAGCGGGGCATATGAGCGAATTGCTCAACCAATGCTTTTGATCTTACAGATTCCAAATAAAATATATATATATATACACACACACACACATACTGTTAGGCACAGAGATTTAGAGAAGAATTGACAAAAACTAAAGTAAAGTTCATGAACTGAGAAGCTTCAAGAGAAGCAGATATTTTGTATTGAGTAGAAAAATTAAAAATCTGTCTTTACAATAGTGAGAGTCACTTATAAATAGTGGGCCTTGACCCGGTGACCCAATTACAAACAAATACAACATGGGCCAATTCTAATTACAATAATGGCCCAAATACAAAATCAGCCTTTATCTAGTATTCTAACAGCCCCCCTCAAGTTGGAGGGTGAAAGAACCCCCAACTTGCAAAGATGAAAGTGATGAGCAGGCCCAAGAAGGGCCTTGGTAAGAATATCAGCAACTTTAGCATCGCTGGACACATGACCCAAGCTAATCAGCCCATCACCAATCTTGCCTCTGACGAAATGACAGTCCAGCTCTATATGTTTAGTCCTCTCATGAAAGACTGGATTGCGGGCAATGCGCAAAGCAGCCTGGCTGTCACAATACAAAGGAATTGGACAGGAAGAAGGAAGACCAAAATCAGATAACAATCTTGAAAGCCAAGTAACCTCAGCAGCAGCTTTACTCATGGCCCTGTATTCAGCTTCAGCAGAAGAAAGAGAGACCACAGGCTGCTTCTTGGATTTCCAGCTCACCAAACAATCACTATGAAAAACACAAAAGCCAGTGACAGATCTTCTACTCTCAGCACAAGAAGCCCAATCACTATCACAATATACCTTTAAAGAAAGATCGGGAGAGTCATTGAAGAACAGACCAAAGTCAGAAGTCCATTTCAAATACCTCAAAAGATGTAAAGTAGCTTGCATATGAGGGACACAAGGAGTTTGCAAGAATTGGCTAAGATGTTGAACTGCAAAACTGATATCAGGCCTTGTGTGTTTTAAGAAATTCAACTTGCCCACCAAGCATCTATACTCTTCAGGCTTGGGCAGGGGATCACCAACAGAAGCCTTTAATTTCTCATTGATAGCAAGGGGACAAACAACAGCAAAAGAAGCAGAAGAAGCAAATGACTCTAATAAGTCATGAATAAACTTCTTTTGATGAAGAAGTACCCCAGAATCACAATATAGAACCTCAATTCCCAAAAAATAGTTAAGAGAACCAAGGTCCTTAATCCTGAATTATTCATGCAGAAATTCCTTTAAGGAAGAAATTTCAGACAAGTCAGTCCCAGTAAGAATGATATCATCCACATACACATCTAGAATGACCAAGGAAGAGCCAGAACCCCTAGTAAATAGGGAGTAGTCATTTGAAGAATGAGAATATCCTCTAGAACAAAGGACCTGAGATAATTTAGCATACCATTGTCTGGAAGCCTGTCTCAAACCATAGAGGGACTTGAGTAGCTTGCAAATCAAAGGAGGAGAAAAAGAAGAGGAAGAAGGAACAGATAGACCAGGAGGCACCTTCATGAAAACCTCTTCATCAAGATCATCATGTAAAAATGCATTATTAACATCAAGTTGAAATAAAGGCCAGTGTTGTTTGATAGCCACAACAATCAAAGACTTTACAGTAGACATCTTAACAACAGGAGAAAAGGTTTCATGAAAATCAACCCCTTCAACCTGCGTATCACCCCTAACTACTAACCTGGCCTTATACCTCTCCAGACTCCCATCAGCTCTATATTCCACTTTGTATACCATTTTCAGCCTATAGGCTTCTTACCAGGGGGTAACTCAACAATATCCCAAGTTCTATTAGCCTCAAACTCCTTTCTCATAGCCTCCTGCCACTCAGGGAGACAGGGACAACAACATCCTGACAGTAAGTATAAGGCTCAGGAATGTGGAGCTATGAAGTGGTTGCATTGAAAGAAATAGACTCAGAACTAGAAGAAACAGGGAAAGAAACAGAAGAAGGAAGGGTAGGACACACAAAATCCTGAAGATAAGCAGGAACAGTATGAGGCTACTGAATCTTCTAAGTGGAGGAGGAGATGAGGGAAGAACAGAAGGGGAAGAGGAGCTAGAGGAAGGAGAAGAAGTGAGATTAGGGGAACTTGGGAAAGAAGGAGGAGGAGCAGATGGTTGGGAAGAAGAAACATGAACAGAAGGAGATAAAGGAGAAGTTGAATCATCAGAGAAATGGCCAGGAATGAGAGGAGAGGGCAAGATAGGGGATGAGAAAGTAGAGGATTTGGAAAAAGGGGAAATGTGTTCATGGAAAGTCACACCTCTGGAGATAAAACAAGATTTAGTGGACAAATTCTAAAGTTTATAACCCTTTTTGGCAAAAGGGTATCCAAGGAAAACACATGGGACAGACCTAGGATGAAACTTATCTCTATGGGGTTTGGGCATAGTTGAGTAGCAAAGACACCCAAAGGATCTAAGGTGAGAGTATACAGGAGCCTTGCCAAAAAGTAACTCATAGGGAATCTTGTGCTTAAGGAGAGGTGAAGGGAATCTATTTATCAAATAAGTGACAGTAAGGAGACAATCACCCCATAATTTAATATGAAGATGAGATTGAAACAAAAGAACCCTGGCAATCTCTAACAAATGCCTATATTTTCTTTCAACTACACCATTTTGTTGTGGAGTGTGAGGACAAGAGGTTTGATGAATGATCCCTTTATCAGACAAGAAAAGAGAACCAGAGGAAGAGGAACCTAGCTCTAAAACATTATCACTTCTCACAGTCTGAACTCTAGTTGAAACTGTGTTTCAACCATAGAAATAAAGGCCTTTAACAAATCAAAAGCATTGCTCTTTGCCCCCATCAGATGTGTCCAGGTAGCCCTAGTATAGTCATCTACTATTGTAAGGAAGTACTTAGAACCAGAGTGAGTAGGAGTGGAGCAAGGACCCCTAGTATCTATGTGAATAAGATGAAAAGAATGAGTGGACTGAATAGAACTATCAGGAAAGGGGAGCCTAGTTTGTCTTTCTAAGGGGCAAATTGGACATGTGAAAGACTGCTTGGAAGACAATCCATTATTAAGACCAGAAATAAGTTTCATTTTTGAAAAGGGAATGTGTCCAAGTCTATAATGCCAAACAACATCAGAATTATTCACTTTATTTGAATCAACCATGGTATTTACAGATGAATTGTCAACAACAGCATTATTAGACACTACAGGTAAAGAAGAAACAACATAAGAACAAAAATTGACATTAACAGACTGAACAGGAGAAGTCACATGCTTAAACAGCTTGTAAAGTCCATTGTCCCGTCTACCAAGCACCACTGGCTTCCTCACTGAAGGGCCCTGGAAAGTGCAAGCAGACTTGGTAAACTATACAACATCATCACAATGAGACAAAAACTTCTGGACAGATATGAGATTATGTTTGAAACTAGGGATGTAAAGAACATTATGAAGGATTAAGTCATGGAATAAAGCTAAAGAACCAACATTGGTAACCTTTACTTTGTACCCATTTGGGAGAGAGACAAGGTAGGGAGTAGGAAGAGTAATTATATCAAAAAGCAAACTCCTAATGGAAGTCATGTGATCAGTATCTCCAGAGTCTATTATCGAAACAATGCCATTCACGCTAGACAACATACAAGCTCCATAAGAAACACCCTCATAAAGCATGAGCTTACCAGCAGAGTTGGCAGAAGCCAAGAGAGGTGGAGAATGTGGGGAAGTAGAGATTTGGGATTGTTGTAACAATATCATCAGCTGGGAGTATTGATCCTTGGTAAGGCCAGGTATCACAGATGACTCCTCATGCTTAACTGGACCATCAGAACCACCACCAAAGGATTCAAGCTCAACATGTGCAGCAGTTCTGCGAGAAGGGGGTACTTTGTTGAACTTGAAATTGGGAGGATACCCATGCAACTTATAACATCTCTCTATAGAATGTCCAAACTTCTTGCAATACTTGCAGATAAGAGAAGTCCTGGGAGCCTCAAAAGAAACCTTGGAGGGAAATGATGGCTTAAAAGTCCCAACATTGAAAGAAGCAAATTGTGTGGAGAATTGGGAGGCAGAAGACGCCTGCTTCTGCTTCTCATCAGATAATAAGATGCTATACACATTTCCAACGGATGGAAGTGGTTTCATCATTAGAATGTTACTGCGAGTTTGCATGTAGGTATCATTCAGCCCCATAAGGAACTGATAAACCTTCTACTCTTCATCCTCAACAGCTTTACCCCCACAAGTACAAACTCTAACCTTATAAGATGCTATCTCATCCCAAAGTTGTTTGATTTTGTTAAAATAAGAAGCTATGACTAAATACCCTTGA